AACCTTAATGGGCCCCAACAGATGTGGACACTTAGATAATGATCCTCCTCACCTCTCACTGAGCCAGGGACTTTTGGGTGATTCTGTAGGTAAATTCAGGGGAGAGACTTGAGAAATCTAACTTGGAACAAATGGATTGTCTTGGAAATGTGCATTATTACAGGGCTGAATTCAGATGTCAGCTGCATTGGGGTACCTGCTGTCCTTGTCCCATCCCTCTGCTGGGAAAGAGCCAGGATTTGGTACCAGAACTGAGACGCTTGCTGGGCAGCAAGATGAGGACAGGTGCCTTTGCAGACAATAATTAGTAATTAGCAACTGGAAGCAAATGGGCAGGCATAGGTGAAAGCAGTCCAGGCACTTGATTTTGTTTATCTTTTGCTTTGGTATCTGAAAATCACACTGATGATCACTGTACTTGAATCTACAGAGCTTGATTGGTCTATTCATCTAGAAATGATCATGCTCAGGGTTTTGTATTTTTGTCTTAGGTTTAGTATGAACGGCAGGCATGAGTTTAGATAGCTGCTGTGTGGGCAGCCTCTACTGAAGCATGCAGGTTCTTAAAGTGAGTTTCCCAGGATAAGCCAGGATGTCTGAGCAGAGCAGAGGGGGAGCCCTGTGCAGCTCTGCTTGGAGACCCAAGATGTAAATTCATGCCACTTGATACAAACACTGAAAAGCTCTTGAGCATTTGCATTTGCTTATGAAACATGCTTTTGATCAAATGAAAAGCGATGTGAACCCTGCCCACAGGTTATTTATTGCAGCATTCAATACCCAGAGTGTCTGAGATTCTATTACCACGGAAGCCCCCATGGACCCCTGGCTCTTTTTCTCTGAATGTAAATAAGCCCTGTGCATTTGCATGTATTCTCATGGGTCATATTTTTGAATGACAGAATCATCTTAGAGTCTGTGCTCTGGGCCCTCTGTAAGAGGAAGCCAAGCCAATTTATCAGGATTAGTTTCCTAGGCCAGAGGTCAGCAAATTATAGCTCATAGCCCAAACCCATTCAGCTGATTTCCTTTAAAATAAAGACTCATTAGTATATAGCTACACCCATTTATCAATGGGTTGGCTCTGGCTGCTTTCAAACCACTGCAATAGGGCTGAGTTGTCACAACCTGCATGGCCTGGAGTATTTCCTATAAGGTCTACTGTAGAAAAAAGTTGGCGAACCTTTACCCAAGGCATGGCCCCTTCTCCAGACTTAATGGGAAAGCCTGATAAAGGATGAAGGAGGAAGCACAAGCTGAGTTCCTTTTCCCCTCTCTGTGTGCAGGGACCTCCTTTCTTACATCTTTCCTTGCTCCTACTCCAGGAATCACAAAATCCCCTTATTCTTCTTTTATCTTTGACCCTCAGGTTCTCAAAGGTGACTGAACTGTGCTCTGGCCCATCATTGGTCCTTGCTTGCATGTTTTATTTCATTCAATCCTTTCATCTCCTGTTACTTCTCACTTCTCTCAGGCCTCCTTCCCATGGGCATATTATTCTAAAAGTATTTGATGCGTGTGCATACTTATAAAATGGGCAGCATTATTGGTTTTATGTTTGTGTTGTTAATATGTGCCATAGTTTGGAAGTTCAGTGTTTCCCAAAGGCCTGTGGGTGGCATACTGGGAGATGGTGGGACCTTGGAGGTGGGGCTAGGTGGGAAGTCTGTAGGTCATTGGGGGTGTGCCCTTGAAGGGAATTGTGGAACTCTCCCCTGCTTTTCTTCTTTCAGGTGCCCATAAGATGAGCATTTTTGCTGATTTGTTTGCCTCTGCCTCCTGAGAGATGGGATTACAGGTGCAACATGTGGCAGCACACCCAGAAAGATGAATGATTTTGCTCTGTCACACCCTCCTGCTGTGATGTGCTCCCCTGTGAAAGGCCTAAAGCAACAGGCTAACAGATCAGAGACAGGAACCTCTAAAACTGTCAGCCAAAATAAACCTATTCTCACTATAAGTCGATCACCTCGGGTATTTTTTTATACAGATGGAAAGCTAAACTAACACAGGGAACATATATTTTATTGTGCTGTAAATCTCATTTCAGTTCATTATTTTTCACTGAAAACAATTTTTACTCAATATTATGCTTTTAAGATTCATCTGTGATGCTTGTGTGCCTCTCATTCTTTGTCTCTAATTATACTTCAAAATTTTTAGGAGAAAAGGATAGTAGATTCTCCTTTCAGAAGGGGAGAATATCTGGAGTGGGAGTGTTTCATAATACCTGGAGGAGAAGACACAGTTCTTTCAAGAGTCTGTCTTAAACAAATCACAGTTGGGCTTACATCAATTGATAGGGTCCCTGAATTCTTTATAAACCTTGGTGTCAAGCTAAGTTATGAGGCAATATTTCTGACAAGACTTCAGCATATTCTCTATTAACCCCTACCCAATATACTCCTATAAACCAATATGCACCCAGCCATTCCTAACCATGCATTATCTATAGTGGGTTGTCAGAGTTTGGGGTTTCTCAGAAGATGGAGATTCAGGCGGGCCTAACTCTAAAAAGGCCAAAAACAGAACCAGGGAGTGTTGATCCCCAACAGCTGCTAAATCAGCTCCTCTCAGGCTCAGCTTGAGCAAACCCTAGGATCTTAGTGTTCTCTTTCCTTCCCACATCCTGCCCTATCAGGAGGGCATGTTTCCTTCACTCTCCTTCTCAACCTTGAGGCTTCTGAGCTTCCAGGAATTGGAGGTCGGATGAACAGGGAATCATAACAATTTGCCAAATGAAAAGGGTTTGATTGATGATTTTTCATTAGATTCAAGGGACAAGTACCCAATTTTGACCATTTATTATTCCCACAAAGAATTATAAATAGTTTCCTGGCCAAAGCTTTTAATCTCAGCTGTCATGAGGAGAGTTCATGCTTTTCATGTTGCTTTATATAGTGTGTGGTTTGACACTTGATAGTTTGCCAATAAAAGGTAAATAATAAACAGTTGACTAAAACTAGAGATTTCCAGGTACACTTGCTACAGTAACGTTTGAATTTTAATGATGTTAATGTTGTCAAGCTCCTAATAGAGATTCAGACAGTTGGGTGAGGGACAGGTCAGGAGTACAAAATGTAGCAATCAAATTAATTCTATTTGTTCTCCCCTCTCTACCAAATTTTATGGCTATCCTGATTTATATTTAGGGCAGTGTCTTGGGAAGGGGTGCTAATGTATTGAAAGGGGGCTGATCTGCAGGGTGTGATGGAGAGATCTTATTTGCTTGTTCAGAGTAGAAGCTCTGCAGAAGATGGTGGCAAGGACTTCAGTATGGACAAAATAGTCCTCTAAGTTGCCCCTAAAGCAACTTAGCAATTCTATTAATTAAAAAGCTCTTTCAGTCCATAATTCACTGCTTTGGTTTCCAATCAATGATTCCTTCAACTCAATTTCTTAGACTGATAAGAAAAATGGAGGAACAGTAGATCAGCTCATGGCATTTTTAAAAAACAATCTGCACAGTTTTCCCCTATCAAAAAGCGCATACACAAATCAAGCTTGCGAGAATAAGATAACCCAGACCAGTTCTTTGCCTTTCTGTCTCTATGACTGTGACTTCTATCACACACGTCTTACCACTGCAGATGAACAAGCAGTCTTTCCAGTTTGCAGTTGACAAAGGTTAAGAAAACCTCTAAGGGCCAGGGATTTAGCTCAGTGGTGCCGCCACCTGCCTTGCAAGTGCAAGGACCTGAGTTCGATCTCTGGCGCAAAAAAAAAAAAAAAAAAAAAAAAAAAAAAACAAAAAATTTGTGG